CAATGGTCCCGACATTTGGGTTTCGTTTTTTTAATCACCCCGGACCGTCGAAAAGTGTCTCCCCCCCCCCCCCCCGCGACACAGATTGACACCTCAGAATTGTCAACTTCTAAACCAAATTGGCTTTCCATTTTCCATCTGTATACAACCAGTTTCCTTGACCTCAAATCTGAATTAATTTCCCATAGCATAGCTCTTCTCTTGCTTTATACCGTGCTTATTTCCTCCTGCGTCTGTTTTTTTTTATTCTTCTTTTCGCTCCTATATTTTAGGCAGGCACACTTCACTTCGCTATACAATCACTACATGAATGTTCTGTCTTCGTCTTGTTTGTCCATGCATGTTTGTTTTGTTTGTTTTATCCTGCATGAAGCCTTCAGCTTCTTTCCGTGCCACCATATTGCTGCGTTAATTTATTATTTCATGACGAGCCTAACATGTTTGGGTTACACTTATTGATAATTTGAGTATTTTCATGCTTTGTTCCTCCTTTACTTTATATTTATGTTCCTCATACAGCTTCTCATTTAATGTCACTTATTCATCAGCTCATTTTGTGTCTTGAAGTCGTCAGCATTATGGAAATAAATGAATAACGAATGAATGAAAGTAGTGCAAACAGCATTTGCTTTCATGAAAATAATGCATATCATCCGTTTGTTATTTTTTCTTCGTACTTCTTGCCATTCATTAATTTTTGTTTCGCTATACTACTGCTGTCGCTATTTTGGTCTGTAGGTCACCATTCCTTGTTTCACTTTATTATTTTTTTGTCATAAATGTATTCACTGAAACGAAATTTACGAGGATTCGACAGTTTCTTTAAAAACAATGCAGCGCACTCCCCCTCCTTCCCGCGCCATTCTTCACCATGCGGCTTCAATCGGCCTCGGGCGGAGCAACCACTGCACGGGCCAAGTAGTTTGAACAGTTGGTCAGTGTTGATACAAGTCCGGGGAAAAAATATGTTTCTGGGGGACTGGCGGGTCCATTTCACTGTGCACTCGGGGCACTTATGTCGTTCGACGATTTAGGGGCACGCGACCTGGACGCTTTTGGGGATCTCTAGAATGAAGGTATAACGGGGAGATTGGAGGGGATGGAAGAGGTGATTTGCTGGTACGGACACCACTGACAGTATTGTTTTGTTATGCCTCTGGCACGTAGTGCACGTGGCCTGCTTGTGTCACAATAATTCTGTGGTGATCATCGTTCCGTCGTGGTGGTTGTAGTTGTTTCAACTTCCCATATATAAACCTGTATGAAAAACACCCCGGCATTTTGCTCATCTGTCTTCGCAAGTTACGCTTGGCGATAAACGTCTGCCCAACTAACATTCACTATCGAACTTGATGTTTAGACACACGAGATCGAGAGAACGTACGCATGTCGTGAAGTTCACTTCCTAGATCAAGACTTAGATTCGAACAAAACAGCAATATTTTGCGGAAATGTTTCACATTTTTGTGAATCTTGACACGTATGGAAGAAAAGTAGTAGGCTGTTCCAACATAACACGGAGTGGGGGTAGAGTAAAAATTTCTTCATTGCTTTAATCAATTTGCCCAGTTTCATAATCCTACAGACTGTGTGGTGGTGTTGCTTGTGTTATTCCTCCCTGTATTGTTTGTCCTTATGTCTCTGTCAGATTTGCGGGCTGCGTTTGCTGGTACTGTAGGCTACGCCCAATATAGCATCGGTCCCCAAACTATAGTTGGGATGTCAACTAAAATTTGGACGGTCCCGACCACATTCTTGCAAACGTTATAAACGCTTTTTACAACAGTTTGTAAACATTTGTAACGCGTTCAAGGGGCTCAATTTTGAGTCGGGTCTGTTAATTATTCTGCCCGGGGTTCCTTGCAGCTCTGTGCATTTGGTTACCTTTAAGTCATTAATGAAAATTGTCGTGTGTGACCATCCAGAAGACGGAATATTTTCTTAGGTAAAGGTTGGAACCAGCCACAGGCATTGGCGATTTTGTCGGGGAGGGGGGGGGGGGCAAAGCTCTCAAAAACCTTGTACTTTCTCTAGCATATTCTCAATTTATCTTCTTCTTTTTTCGAGGGTGGGTGCATGGGGGACATTTGCCCATCCCACCCCCACTGACACCCCTGCGGACGCCCATGTTGTTAAATGTGCATTAAATTAACAGCAATATGACTTCGCACCTCGTCTTCTGTTCTTTTTTTTTTTTTTATCCTCGTTTTTTTTTTCTCTTTTTTCCCCTTTTTTTCGTCTTTTTCTTTTCTTTTCCAGGGTGGCAGCCCCTTCCCTTTGCCCCCACCCCCTCGCGACGCCCATTGCCCCAGGGAACGGAAACGTACTTTAGTCGGAGTTATAAGATTTACGGAGCACCATCAGACAACTCTCTTTTGTGACTTTGTGAGGTTCTGAAAAGAACCTCTGAAAGAACTCAGAGTTTCGGACAGTATACCCTGTCCATCGTCAGGAGACTGAGGGATTCCAACTGTGAGGGGGGGGGGGGGGGTATGCAGTGGAACTATAGAAGCAGTGAAGCGCTTGAAGGGTGCAACAGGGGAGTCCTAGCTGGAGCAGGGGATGCTTGATGATGACAGCGACGTGCGCCCCTGAGGAAGGGAGCGAAGGGAAACATTTGAGTTTTCCCAGTTCTTTTCATTACCACACAAACTCGCAAAAGAGATTAACATGTTGCTCCGTAGTTTATCTTATTGCAATCTTCACCGTGCATACCTTCAAGTCTTATGTGAAGGTTGGCCAGAGTTACTAGGGCCACGCCAGACCTTGGGTGCGTTCCACCGTTACGCTACAAACATAAACGGTGCCAAACGTTCGGGATTGTTGAGATACACATGTATATACATAAATCTTATGGGAAATCGTTGGTGACGAACGTTTGCAACGGTATAGGGGCCTAGTGCAAACATGGAACGCATCCCTTTCCGTTTCTATATCACTAGTTTGTGCACATCCCTTAATATAGGCCTAACTGTTTAAACCACAAAACGCTCGTTTCAGCTATCGATTTATACTTATATCAACACTAAATTAATACCGCCACTGCGTGCATTTTCTCTGTGAGAGAAAATACCAGAAAGCTGATTTCCTTCATTTCGTTAGACAAAGCTTCGGTCTCTGTTCGTCATGCAGCTGCTGTATGGTAAGATTTACACTTTTTAAATGAAAGATGACGGCTAAACCGAGGTTTAAAAAAGGAGAATTGACGCACAATGTCATTTTGTAAGCAAAATTATAATAAAGTTCATTTTATTCACCGTGGAAAAAAACGCAGGCAAGAAACCAGGAAACTGTATGTAAAATATACTTTTCTGAATACACAGGTACAAAAGCTGTATATTACAAGCTAGTTGAATTTTGTCGGAATCGAGATAATACGTGGCAAAAATGGAACGTGGAATGTGTTGTTCGTTTGGAAATTACACAAGGCACTATTTTGTGTTATTTATTTAGAAATTACGCAAGGCACTAGTTTCAGAAAATCTTTCTATGGTATAATTTGCTCCTCTTCGCACGGGTCGAAAACAGTTCTCCAACTTCTAATACACTAGTTAAAAGGCTTATCAGCGATTTTCTGGAATAGGTTGTTTAGGTAAATTCATTTTTTGTGCCCACAAGTAATATCCACTAAGGCATCCCTTCATTAAACCTTTTTTCAGACACCTCTGTAACACAATGCAAAAAAATGTACTAACTAACTGTGGTATTTTATAAAACGATGCATTGTACAAAATAGAAAATTCGGCGGACGTTTAGGACAATCTGCGTACTTTTAGTCTTTTCATAGCACTGGAATGCTTAAAAATCACATCACATTAAAAGAATAAAACAAATATTCAGTACTAACTACTACACGAAATTCTATGGCAAGACAGTTGTAAATATAATGTCTGCAAAAAAAGGAGTGCAGATTGCAATTTTTGATAAAATAAAATATATATAAGCTATATATGTGAATAATAGCTCAAGCGTAAATCAAGCTTTCCTTAGTACAATGGTGACAGGATTAAATGTGGGAGTAATTTCTGGTCAAAGACTTTCAGACTGTCGTCATATCACTGAGTTGCATTTTACTACATCGAGCTATAGCAATCTAAAAACTTCAAATTACTCCCCTTAAAAAAATCTTATAACAGATCAGCATTATAAACCTCATTTACATATTTTTTTTTCTGTACATAAATATTCAAAAGCAGGCTTTAGCACCGTTCCGTTAAAAAAGAAATCGCCAAGTATTTTGTTATCCCTTTTTACTTTAAAATTATGCTGTATTAAAGCTACATTGTGTATAATACTTTGAAGCAATGGCAAAAACATATCTTTATTGTGTATTTATATGAACTGTTACAAAAATGTTTGGGAGGTCTACAACAGTAAACGACTTCTTGCCAGGGGGGAAACTATAAAAGGGTGAATTCTCAATCCTATCAAGAAATATTTTGTCAGCTGCAGTGATAAATTATAGGGCACTTCAATCCTGTACATTAGTCCGGACCATCAAATTCGTGCAGAAAGTGCAAATGGTTTCTTCAACCATTACTTAATTTCTAAAACACGGTGTACAACAATTGCACCATTGAAATTCGCCGATGTGCTGAGGACATTTTAGAAAGCAACTTAAGAGTTTAAAACAACATGGAGGATTTTCGCTTTTGACGGCGCTAAAAGGGTTCCCTATCCAGAAGACACTCTGACACCCTCCCCCCCCCCCCCACCCACCCCCACCCCGCACCCCATCTCTAAAAAAGAGTTGATTCATGTTGTAAACCATCTTTAGGGCTATCTTTAAACAAGAAATTTAAATTAGGCACGCATTAAATGGAGGTATAGGCGTATGTTTTAAAAGGAACGCTTATTTTTTTCAAACATTTTGACAAAGTAGCCTAGTGACTACCATCAGTTCGTGTAATTTGGTCTTGTGCTCCACCCTGACTAGCGACTGATTGCCGACCGACGCATGGTACCCAATCTCCCTAAATCAAATGAGGCGTGGTTTCTTGTTACTGTGCGGGATCGTAGAACCTCATGGCCAGGTTTGCCATGTCGCGTTGCATCTGGGCGTTCTCGCGCTGTTCCCGTTCCGTGGTGCGCTTCAGCTTTGTTCGGCGATTTTGGAACCAGATCTTCACCTGGAGAATGAAAAGCCGATCGAGAAATCGACGTAAGATAGAAGTATGAATACAATAGTTTTTGCAGTGTGCTTAACTAGCATCGATTTCTCAAACTGTACTTCTTTATTGCATCCTTTTGAATCTCGCTTTTCACACTTTTTATGTAAGGGTGCACGATTTAATTGAAAGATTGGCCATACATACAAGCTTCAGTCACTTTAATGTATGTCTACCTTAGACTCGCCTGACTGTTATTAGTGCTGCGTCTGTTGCCATTAGCCTGCGCCTGTTCCGAGTTATGGCAGACAAAATAATAGGAGGGCGCTCTTTTGAGTTTACCCAAACCAAACAGCGCCCTCCTATTGTGTCCGCCATATCTCAAATAGGCTAATTACTGTTGCTGCTGCTGCCAAAAACCTGCTGCGTCTGTCGTTACTGAAGTTGTTAATTGTGATGTTAAACCTACCTGGCGTTCCGTGAGGCTCAGGACCTGTGACAGCCAGGCGCGTCTTTCTCGGCACGGGTACATGCTTCGCTGGAACTCCTGCTCGAGATGCAACAGCTGTAGCTTGGAGTAAGGGCGACGCTTGGGCCGTGAACCACCAGGCTTCAAGGATGTGGACACTGCAAAAATAATGAAAGATTGTCATTTTTTTAGTGCAAGCCCACATATTCCGCAATTTTGGTCTCCCTGGATATTTCTTTTTTGTCAAATGGTTGTCGCCATGAAACAGAGCATTGACGAGCCACTCTTGATCTTGTTCGTTACACTCGTGACGAGTAAGCTGCTGTTCGTTGGTATCGTGATTTTTTTTCGTGATTTGATTTAAAGTTAAACTAAATAAAAGTTTAAGAGGCATTTCCGACGTAGGTGACCCTGTAACTCGTTGGCCGTGACCCAGAACAATTGCTCGGGAGTGGAGTGGCTGGTCGGCTGCTCACGAGGAATTTCCCGAATTCGTCCGATCTAAGAGAGTGATAACATCTTTCTGAGTCCGAAATTACGGACCCCAAATTTGATATCTGGATTAAAAAGACCGTAACGCGTGTGCTCAAATTTCGAAGATATAAAAGCCAAAGAAACAAGACAGACAACCACACGTGCGAGCCACGTGTTGGGACAGGCGTACAGGTGGGATGGACGGGTCGCATCGGAGAGTGTTGTCAGTGCGGCCCGCTAGATCCGGCACGTGAGGCAAACGGCTAAGTAAACCTGTTTCCCTTCTTGTTCTTTTCTTGATTCGGGTCCCTCGGGCTGGGATCTCCCCGGTGCATTAGCGAGCATTAGGATCTCCTTCATCATCAAGCGAGTGGCCCCATTGGGATATCACCCGCTCATCACCGCCACAAGACATGTCTTGAAAGGGATCAACATTGCAGGCCTCACGGGAATACAAGGATCTCGTCCGGTCCAGGTCGCGCCGACAAATTTGATCCTACTGTGGTGGATGTTCGGTTAACGCCCTGAAGTCTTGCTCGGCCATGGACTCTTTTTTTTTTAACCAGCTGGTTTGGTAGACATCGATGGCAGTCTTTTTTCCGCGAGACTGGTTAGCGACACGTGTTGATGGTGCTTTTTTAAGCTTTGGGGTGTTACCAAACACGTGGCTTCCAGATCGAAGCAAAGGTTGGACACGAGTGTACTATCAATTATGAGTCCGAGCGGCACACGACCGACGCGTTGTCGGGCGTGATGCCGCACGCGAGCCGCTGATGGGGGCACGCCGTGCCGTCACAAGGTGCACAGGGGGACCGGTCCTTTACAGTCTTGCCTGTTGCATGAAGTTTGTATCATGGTGGTCTTTGCTGACTTGGCCAATGTATTGTATCCCTAACATAAAAAGAGACCATTGTCACGATTGATATACAGAAAAACGTACAAGGATAGAGATACAAGTTCTTTTCTAGTAATGAAACCAAGTCAATTTCCAGTCAAAGGCTGCTCCGTAGCTCGAAAACTTGAGGAAACATATAAAGGGAAACCATTGTGAAAAGAATATTAAATTTTAGAGAAGAAAGGAAAATCCCCGGGATGATGTTCTAGGGAAGACCAGAGGAATAAGCTATAGAGACTGGAAACCGAAATCCACACTTAGAGGTCGACGGGCGAGGAAAGCACCGGAACCACTGATCTCAATCCCCGACTCAACCGTACTGCAGCAAGTATCAATGATGACGATGACAACGACGACGTCGTTATAGAGAAAGGTGACGACAACAGAAATACTCATGATGGTGACATAATGACATTGATAATGTTGACATTGAGCATACGGAGCAGAAATATAGACCGTCATATATATGTAATATAGACCGTCATATATATATACAGCGACAGTGTCTGCAATTACATAGACGTCGATGACGTAAACGATCTAGAATAAATGCTAGAGAAAGCATGAGTATTTGGGGAAATAATATGCTTTGCCCCCTCTGGAAAAATCCTGGCGATGGTAGTTTGTGTTATTTCGTCGATTCATCTTGAACTTTGGGATGTAGGATCCGATCGTCTGAAAGGAAAAGATTGGGATACACATAATTCTGTACTGCAGCTGTCTCATCGTACATTGCGAGCATTATGGCTAACTGTGGTCTTGTTTTTGTTTTACCATCCAAAAGTCAGGCACACCATAGCACAGAAATGAAGACACTTTCGTGCTGTTTTTACTGTCTCGCTGCTTCACTGTCCTTTCCTGCTGTTTCACTTTCGAGTTTCAGAGATGTGTTTTAATCTCAGTGAGAGCTTCTATAACAATACTTAATTGCAACAATAATTTTTAAAAGCCGTGAATAAAAAAGCAGCATTTTCTCAGGAATGTTTTGATGTTGAACTCAGTAAATTGTTTTGTGCGTGAGGTACGTTGAACCCTCGCCTTGCCCCCCTAGGACGAACAATATTGCTTCTCAATATGGGGCTAATATCTGCCGAAAATGTAAACAAAAACATCTTGATTTCACTATTTTACCGCTGGAGCATTCCCGAACCCCCTTCCAAAAACTATGGCGTGCCTTCGGCAGTCGTATACAGTACATCAAGTGGCGTAACTAGGGGTGGGACACTCCTGGTTGTTTGTGCCCTGTGTCCCACTCTCAGAAGTTGAAAGAGGGTAAAAAAAAACCTAAGCTTTGTATCGTCAAAACCTGTTGTGTGCCCCTTCCAGTAAAATGCTGCTCCCTAAGTATTCCCCCTTCTGCAAATTGGAGCCCACGCAGTTACGGCATTGGCTCCCTAATACCTCTTGCTAAATTGAACCCATCCCTGTCCGATCTTGACTTATCTAACTCCTTAAACGCGTTCATATAGTTGTAGACATTTCAACAATGGACATGATCGGAGTTGATGGAAAATCTATCTTGCGTGATCTGACTGTTTAGGTTTCCTATAATGATCATATTTTCTATTGTGATAGAAATGTATAAAGATAATCATTTGAAATAATCTAATATAATCTGTACACTGCAAAAACTGTAGTGTTAATTTAACACCATATGGTATCTATATAGGACAACACCAGTAAAATTTAACACCAGATGGTCCTATATAGATACCAATGGTGTAAATTTAACACTGCAGTTTTTGCAGGGTATGGGAATCATTAATACACAAATAATTCGTTCTATTAATTTTGTCCTTAAAACATTTAGGAGTTGTAGCTTCGCATGTAAACGGCAAGGGAAAACACTTCCTTGTCTTGCCAGTGGTGGAAGTGTATAAGGTGCGGGGTGGGGGATGAGGGTTGTACTCAACATCACGTCTTAACCATCACGTCTCCAGATACACCAGAACAGTATAACCCTATAGTTATGTAGCAACTTGTAAAAGACTATGGGAGAAATATGATAGCCTCCCTCACCTGTAAGAATTGAGGTACGCCCCCCCCCCCCCCCATGATGACCTATAAACCATTAGGCCAGAGAAAACAATTTTTATATTTTACAGCAAGGACATATTTTTTGGGGGTCGCAGTCTTTAATTCTACATTGATGCGAACTAATTAGTTGGTTTTCATTTTGCCCCGAGGTACGGGTCTGAGTCAAAATGGGGACAGCAACCCATTTCAATGGTATTTTATGGGGTTTTTTAACAGTAAAAAGACTTTTGCTTGGTGTTATTTGAACATATTGCGAAAAGGGCTTTCGCAAATTAACAAAAATTAAATGCGAATGCATGTCCCTGGTATTTCTTCACTTTTTTTAACGAGTCTTTATACTTTCTTCACTGTTAAGAAAAAAATCTGTTATTTTACAGACAAATTTTCACAGATCTGACCTGTTGTTCATTTGTACAGCAGTTTTGAGGTTGCAATTACAGTTTTCAAATAAATTCCCCTTTTTGACAGAGTATGTTTAGTTTGTTGTAAAAATAGCTCTGCAGAGTATCGTGTTCTATACTCATATATACGTGTATGTTTACATTTTGATGTAGACAATTGTAGTCTGTAAATACTATACAAATGTGGGTCGTGAGGCATGTTGGATTTCATAATGCGTTCGTAAGAAGCTAGCTATAGGCCTAGTGGTCTCTTTAAAAAATCCGAACATGCGTAGAGTGGTTCTCAATACTCAATACGCGACTCGGCGCTCATGAGCGTAACCAATCCCAGCCCTTCACTTTTTCTCACTTAGCTGTGATTCATGCACACGTCCAATGCATGCATGCGAAACTCGATACGAATATGACACAAGTTGTACATGGTTGATTATTGAGATGTCACAATCGCAGTGCCTGTGCACTGCGTCCCAAAATACCCGGAACCTTTTTGGCGAGGCCCTAGCGTCTGCGCGGAAACACGTACCGCCATTATTTTTATACCATTTTAAAGCTTGAAATCGTAACTTTATTCCTGGCGAGTATTGGTGTGATATTTAAAGGAGTTTTAAAATTATTATTAAAAATAATTTTCAAATAAAGGCATGTTGGAAACAAACTCAACCCATTTCAAGGGAATTCGATGATGCGGTACATCAGATACCAACTCGAGTCAGCAAGCTGTTGAAATAAAACAAAACACAAGTGATTTATATTAAAAACACACTGAACTTGAAACGAACAAATTTAGTATTTAAGGTGTGGTCTACGTGGATCGAAAAGAAAAGGAAACACAGAAAGTAAAAGGCAACGGGATCGTCACATCATGAACCCGATGAATCATTTCCACATTTGCGCATGGTTGATTTTCCTTGAAATCGGTTGAGTTTGTTTTTGACATGCTTTTATTTGAACACAAGTAATTTCAAAACCCTTTTGAGAATCAATCCAATACTTACCAGGGATAAACTTAAGATTCCATGCTTTAAAATGATATAAAAATAATGGCGGTATGTTTTTCTGCAGCGACGACAGAGCCTCGCAACATAATATTGCGGGTAATTTGGGACGCGTTGTATATCTGTCAAGGTATTGACCGTAGGTCAACCCTTGAATACCCCTCCTCCGTCAAGCTTTGTCTCAACCCTACTGTTCAGCAAACCAAGTGCCCTCCTCATCCTACGCCTGTTTTTCATGAAGTCCTTTGATCTGTACATACCCCGTTCTACATTATTGCCTCAGTACGGGTATCATCCGATTCAGTGCGTTATCTGTTGCATTACTGTTAAAACTACGAGAAATCTGAGCACGGATGGCAGTAACCGTTAGTTTGTGAGCCTGAAAGCCTGACGGTATTTTACATGAACTGGTTGGAAACCCCGATTAACAGAGTTGTAAATGCACATTATTTTTTTTCTGTTGTAATCACTATTTAGTATAAAATCATTTTACTAAACTTGATGTGAAACTTAAAAAAAGCTGCAAAGTATCTGGCCACGCTGCTGCCATAACGTTTGATGTAAAATAACATAATTATTTTTTACAGTGTGTAATTGTTCAATTGAATATTCTTAGTAGGGTGCCTCCCTGATTCATTACGTGAGCGTGCCTCCTGGAACTTTTTTGTTTGCAATCCAAAGTGTCGGGGGAGGCATGATTTATGACTATCATATCAAACATATTTTGCATCGCCCGCTTGCGGCCCCCGTACGCCGCATTAGATCGCTATAAATAGGTTCCAATGTCAGTGACTCTGTGTAATATACGGTGTAATATACGGGTTCGCCGTGCACGCTCCGACTTTTTGACCAAATAAGGGCAGCCTCACAAAACCACTTGCGCCCTCGGTTGATGGGTCGGTGTGTTTCACTTATGTTCATTGTGTCGACATTTAGGCACGTGCACACAACATACACAGTGTGCATGTTATATTGTTGACTCAAGGAAAGTTCACTGGCAACAAAAACACTCATGCATTCTCTGAAGTGATGTCTCTTTCTAATTTTCTCTTTATACGATTAAATATTTTTACTATTATCTTTGAATAAAGGTTTCTCGTAGGTCAAAGAACATAGAATCTTAAAAAAAAAAATCTGGCCCGGTAAACTCAAAAGCATTCGTGCTTGGGGCTCCAGTCTTATTTGGGTGCTGAACAAGGGGGCTTGGTGTGTTTTAAAACAGGCTTCACTCTGGATTTTTGTTTCAATTGCCAAAATAATCAATTTCTTCTACATCACAACTGGAAATGATACGATGAATTAAGATTGTGACTGGACTTAAACATACATGTATTTCATTTGGACGAGTGAGTCATTTTGATGTGTCTCACTATATGTATACAACTTAAGGAAACAATGGCGTGAACTTTCCACCCAACAGAAATGGTGGATGCCCACCTCCTCTTTCCATTTCACGTCTGTGCCTCACTACACTCCCAAGTCTTCCTTCACTCTGAAGAAAAAAAGGACTTCCTTGGAGCTTGTCCATTCTTCCAACCTGTTTTACCGGTTTTACTGCAAATCTAACGCCGTTGCTGGTTTAATCTTGCAAAAACACTGGACGCGCAAAAACCGTGCAGGCGATGACATCGGGATATACCACGGCCGACTTGCCGAAGACGCCCGCGGCAGGACGGCTGGACTGACAACGATGCCACTTCCCTTGGAATTTTTTTTATCACCAAAAAGCCTTCATGGCCACCCAAGGTGTCAGACTGCTTTTGTGACTCTGGAGAAGGAAAAAAGACCCCCAAGAAAAAAAACTTTCCCTGAAACAACAAGGAAAACATGACAAAATGGTTTCCACGCGTGGAAGCTTAACTTCACGGGGCTAGTCGTTGGCCGCATTATGACAATTCCCTAAATCCGATCATGATTGAGTAGAAACAGAAACCTGCTCGTTGGTGTTATAGCAGGGGGAAATCTCTACCGGCCGTCAAGCTTAAGATGGACCATTCAGGTCGGTGGAATTGACACCCAATACGCTGACTTTTTTACCCTTTCCCCCCAAGGGGTGATACCTAAGTGCTCGCGTGCCGGGCCGAGTCTTGAGCACGCGTGCCGGCCTCGATTCTGATGTCTCGGTGACATCTCGCTACAATTTGAATGACGATGTTGTGATCGCTTGGAATACCAGTCTCTTCAGTACCAATAGGCCTATTCATCTTGAAAACTGATAGTTAACTTCATAGTTAACTTAGCAAATGTGTGATTCCGCCAAATTATCTCACATTGTGGTCTTCTGTATAAAAATCTTTCAAGCACAAGCTTCAAGTTTTATCTGGCATTTTCATCTGACCATATTGAAACTTTAAGTCTGTATGTAGACAATCGACTTTGAAAAGTCAAAGACCAATCTTTGAAGGGTTGATTTATCCCAAGAGTTCGACTTCACTTCCCTCCAAATTTTAATACACCAATTGTTTTACTACCCCTGGCGTGATATATGCGGTGCGCAACACCGCTTGTGATGCCCTTGTTGACGATACGGCACGAGCCAACACGTGGCAAGCACCGCGCCCGGGATAATTGCCGAGCCACCGCGGGCAACGACTTGGCCCCTCTATAAATTTGCCGTGGGGGCATCTAGTCCATCTACCAGTAAGCACAACGTACACTACCGCCACGGCACCACCAATTATTGGGAGTCGGTGGCCCACAAGGGCGCCGACGTGTGTCCAGAAGAAAAAGGGGTCCCTTGGGCGCGCACGGGATGTACAGCTGTTGGGAATCTTGGCTTTAGGTCAGCGAGGGACACTGTGAGACACCGTAGCGATACGCATAGATGGGGCGAGAAGTATTAGAAAAGGACGGGAGGACGAGAACATTTCAAGGGAAAGGCATTGGCTTCAACCAGCCCGATTTTGTTCATTTTCGTCACTCGGCATTTCAACAGCCTTGGGACAATTTCAGGAAACTAAAAGTAACAAATATCAAATACATAGGATGGGTAGCAGGGTAGAGTGAAAGTTATTAATTAATGAAGCATGTTAATTTATGCTAATGAGGTAGTTGCTCTTTAGTGTCGATTTCCGAATGTTGTGCAACTCGAACGGCATTTTAAATATTTACTTGTATTAATGTAAATTCAAAATGTGTATTTGAAGATTTCAACACTTTTTTCCCCACTTAATTCTTCAACAAAACAATAGGTTCATTGAAACAATACCATTGCCATGCGATGTTACTGCATCTAGTGGGCGAGTTAAGACTTGAACTTTTTTTCTGGAGAAACCATCATAACTGAGCACGATCACTAAATCTACAAAGTACCCTTCACGAGTTTCTGCAAAACAGCTCCAACACAGTTCCCGAACAGCTGTTGCTCGATAATCCCTCCATGCCTAAACTTTTCTGAAAGATGCTCCGGCAAATCCAAGACCAGATGACAACGTTATGACAAAAAAAAATGAGACTTAATGATTTCTTACCTGAGTGTTCAACGTGTGAGCCGTCGTCCATCAGGGGAGAAGTGTGGTAAGATACTGCATCCGGAGATTGCAGAACCTCGCTGTCTTGCTGGTCGTCAGCCAAGAGGGCATCCGTAAAAGTGCTGGAAACCGTGGCGGTATGGGCCGGGTATTTCAGCTGAATAGACGAGGCAGAGCTCACGTAAGATGCCGCTGGAGCGGCCAGGGTGTCGTAATAATTCTGGTGTTGGCACGACGGCGGCACTACGGCACGACTTATGGTGCTGGTGTACATGCAGGAACCCGTCACCGGGGGAGCATCTTCCCACACGGTCGGACTGCGCTCGAAAGAGTCGTACTCGCCGTAGTTTAGCAGCAGAGCGGGTTCCACGGCTGCATCTGTAACCCCTAAGCATCGGGGCCTATTCGCTGGCCACTGCTGCATGTTGATACCACTTGTTGAAGACCCAGCTGTCCCGAGACGCTATGGCTTGCCCCGTCTACACTGTCCCGCAGCAATCTTGCTTTTGAGCGCTGGTTTAGTTGTGCTGGATACGCGTAAACAGAGCTAGTTGCTAGCACCCACCAATCAATCATTACTCACTTCAGGGGTTGTATAAAATTTAATGACAATTTAAATCAGCTGTTCATACCCACAACAACCCAAATTTTAAGCATGTACACAAAACATGTGCGAAATGGTCAAGTTAGATTAGCCGCACGATGTGCCAAAATTCCAACGCAATCACAGCACGTCTCTACAAAATTTCACGCCGAAATTCCCACGATTCAAAAATTTGAATCGGACTCACATGAGAAATGAAGCTATCCAGAGAGCAATTTCGAATCTGCAGTCCGTGCGATAGATGTTTGAGTCATAAACATCAACTGGCACAGTTGAAAGTGCGACGTGAACTCGTAGTGATGGAACCTTCACCTGTGCGTTGCCGAGATCAACTGGCAGCATCCGAGAAAGGAGGCGGGGACTTGAGACGATCCCTGGCACATCACCGACAGGGCCGGCGGACATCTGCCATTCGCAGAACCCAATTCCACTCCTGGAAGCGGGATTTTCAAACAGACCAGTCTGTTTTGTCACTGCGGGCATTGGGGCTTAAGATCGCCAACGAGTCAGAGACGCTCTTTAGAGCCGGCATTGTGCCGGCGCGCCTCCCCTACTTCTTGCCTCAGCACCCCTGGGCTTGCCACTGACATTGGCCAAGAAAATCAAATGTTTTTGTTTACAATTTACGGTGAATTTATTAAATTAAACCGGAACTGTGTAACCGATCAACCTCAGTGCTGAAATCAACGAAGAAAGTGGTGTCTTGCAAGAGCAACATCCCGGCACACTAAGCGTCAACACTTGTGCCGTCATCCATTGCTGCGTCTAACAGCGGCGCCATCGACACTGTCGTGTTGCCAAGGAATCCCAAGTGCAGTCACGTGATAATCACAATGTAAGTGTAGTTTCACTTTTAATTATGAGGAATATCCCTCTAGTATTCGCTTGAATGCATCTTCGTTTTTGTTTGGGCAACCCCAAGTAGGTATTGCCAGCATGTGATGCATATGCTGATCCGCTGATTAATGTTGGTGGAAAACGTAATGCATGTAAAAGCACTTTTTATAAAATCTCCGTTTTGTTGATAAAGTAACAAATTTCAGGTGCGAGAATGATTAAACACATGATTTCCCTTGAAATAAGTGGAAGTACAGCCGCTGCAGGTATGAGCGTCTAGCCCGACCACTTTACGGGGGTAGCTTAAATACTTGTCTGTCCGCCATGACAGAGAACTCAAGCGATCGACTGGTTTGTCCCGTGTTGCAGCTCTCTTTAGGCATCATTTAATAACAATATTGTTCCATTTTGCACTTATTTACGACAAACAACAATAACTTGACGGCGGGACGTCATTTTCAAATCGTTTGCATCGATTGCCTTTGAGAAAAACCCTTCGCAAAGCGCGAAATTGGTTTCTTCGTATAGTTTGTATTACTAGAGTAGAGAAATATAAACAAACTAACGTAAACTTCATAGACTCGTCCAGTACGTTTTCAATTCTGTCATTTTAAAGCAACAAAACTAAACAATACTGCATTTTTCTGCAAAACTAAAATATATTTTCATATGTACATATTATTGTCTTTCATATTTATGAAAAATTTGGAGGTGTTATTTGGTTTGGTTAATTACATTAATTATTAGTTGTATGGTGTATGTAGATTAGAAACGAACGTGGTTCGAGGCCACATGGGTCGCAGGTTAACCGTTTGTGCCGGCGTTCGTTCGCAGCTGGTGCGAGCCGACTGCTCGCTTTTTGTCTCGATGCTGCCTCGTTTTCCTTGGATTTAAACGGTTCTGGAGAGGGTCTGAGGGGGCTGAATTTGTCTGGGATATTGTCTCTGTGCCCGTTGGGATAGGAAAGTGCCACGCCCGAAGAGAAAACGCTGACGGTCTGGAGCCTGAGGGAGGCTAGCTGAGCGTCGCTGAAGCAGACGCAGAGCCCAACACCGACGCGACGTGCTCGCTGTGTCTTGAGGCTCATGCCGTGTATTTTCGCATGCTGCCCGTGCATGCCTGTGTTATTTCTTATGCTGGAACGAGCAATGACCCTTTTTGAGCGCAAAAGCCCGCCCTCACGAAATTATCGTGGACGATAAGACTGGATCTTCTGCAGGAGCTGGCTCCGACTTTTTATTTTGTTTTAATTTGCACAAAATTAGGGTGTTTTTTTTCTTTTCAAAAGAACAGGACTAGTCTATCTGATCTAACAATGAGCAAAGACAAATTATGGTCTTGAAAACCGGTATCACAGAAAAGTGCAAGATTTCGGGTTAATTCTATAAAACATGCAAATCGATCGTTTTCCTCGTCATACATGTCATTTTAAAAATTATCTTGGGTAAAGCTTTTTGTTTTGGCAATTTAATACATTCGACTTTTTGGGGGGTAAAACGATGTTTTCATGAGTAAAATTCCCACTGATCTGGACTGAAATTCACAATTCTGCTCCTCGACAATCGTAATAAATTAAATCCCTTTGCCGCGTGACAGCACCTGCATTATTTTGGCGGGAATTCACTTCATCAGCTGTTTAAGCTGATTTTTTTCCCCCGTGGTGGAGTATTGTCGTGAAGTACAATTGCCGTTGCGAGCCCCTTTTTCTGTCGGCAGAAAACAACATGTATCAACCAGTGACCGAGGAAATACCCCCAGACGAATCCCCTCCCGACTCCCCGGACAGCTTTCGACTTGCAGGGGGAGACGTGGGGGCTGTTTCGGAGCGAGACGATCTTCCCGAAGCGGACCATTCACCGGTGGCTGATGACACGGACGTCGAGTATAGTTCGTCCCGGTCCGGCCAGCTACCGCCGTACCGTGATCATCATCATCACCAGGCCAGGTCCGGGGCGGCCTTTCACCAACAACAAAGGAGCCGATTCTACCTGAAATGGGAGCCTCGTTACTTAACAACCTTGCCAGGAATTATGAAAATGCTACAACTGGTGAGTACTATCTTATTTTCAACTTTTCCTTCATAAGTAAAGTTAATAAAAAGTTGTGTTTTTTTTCATGGAAAAAAATTGAGACCTACATCTACAATAATTAATAATTAGACTATTTGATCTATCTAAAAATTTTGGGAACTTTTGTTTACATTATTTCAAGGGAATATATTGAACAGTATTTTTTTTCTAATTTCAGAAAGAATATGTTTAAATATAAGGTTAGTTTGTTTTTTCTTTTCTTTCAGAGCTTTTTGAAATGTTAAATGCATGTCTCTTTAATTTTACTTCTAATAAAGTTTTTTGTTTGAATACAAATTATGAACAAATTATGTTTAAATTCAATTAAGGGATTTGAAGAAAAAAAAGATTGCTTTGCTTAATGTAGGAACTAAACCCACTATCAGTATCAGGTGAGATCTGCATTGCTAATTATGGTGCTAGTAGTACTGCATGGTGAGATTTGAATACGCTCAAATATATCTCAGCAGTTACAAATGTGTATTTGCCTGTCAAAAGGCAGTTTAAATTAATATTTAGTGGATATATTCACATTCATTGGTTTGATATGCTCCCACATTTTGTTTGTAATTTCTATAACAAAGATCTTTATTTTTTCACCCATTTAAATAATTAAAATATTTGCAATGATAATTAAGCAAGGGAAGTTTTTTGCTTCATTTATAAAAAAAAAACTGAAATAAAACTGGATGTTAACACTAAGAAAGGAACTTGGTCTGCCCACCTTGAAAATTTACCACATGTTATGAAGCCTAATACATTGCTTAATTTGATTTAAAGGGAGACTGTGGCCCATAAAGTTTGATGCCTTGCACAAGGAATTGCTGACCTGGCAAGTTTTGAATGGAAGGTGTATGGAAAATTGCTTGTCACTTGAACCACATGTATACATGTAGATGCTTAATTTACTCAATGTTTTCTCATGTCTTGTGGTTTAAAAAAAAATAACAATTAGCATTAGGCTTATGCACCCAATTAAATCAAAGAGTTTAATTGATAAATATTTTGCACTAAAGCAAACCAAGCTAAGTAGAGTATAGTGTGTAGCATAGTTTCAAGTGCTGTGGTGTTAGTCTTTTTTGTATATTTGTTTGGATTCATTTATACACCTTTACATTTGAAACAAACAATACAAATGGCTATTTACATTTTAATTTTAAGAGTTAAGGTCTTGAAGTTTAAGGGTATAGTCTACATGTTTAACATATGTTGTAGGGGCTGATGTTTTTCTGGCGTATTATTTCTTCATTCTTCATTCCCTTCCAAGCAATACGCATTTCATATGACCTTTAATTTAATTAATTTGATTGTGTCATGCATGCTATGTACCCAGTCAAGTGTGTAATGGTGGATAGCATTATCAAGCAAAGATATCACCACAGAGGACTGCCATTCCACATGTAGACGTGGATGAAGTCCAGCATGAGTTTGTGTGTCCTTCATATACATGGCAACCAATTGGCAACCAACCACAAGCAGCATCCCCATGTATTCTATCACAGATCTGTATACGTGATTGCATGTATCTACATGTACACTGTTAACTGTGTTCAATTACACATGGCACACAACTTAGGGGCCATTCAAAATTGTCAGTGTTTATAAATTTCCAATTTTTTTGTGGAAATTGTTTTGACCCACCCACCCACCCGAATTTCGGGTTTTTTTTTTAATGTTGAATTGCTATCCAATATATCCTATACACTGAAGAGCAAAGAAAATGAGGCAGATATTTTAGGTCAGTGCTCTCACAACTTGAGAGTTTTTAATGGCTTTTGCAGGCTTCCAGCAATGCAACTTTGAAGTTGAAACAAGAGGAATATGCCAATCACACAAAACGTTGTGGTGTTTTTCGGTTTTCTTTTTACCCTATAATAAATGTTTAAAAAGTAAAACAAAAATAATTGAAAAATATTTCATCAGTTGGAATGTTGCATGCCCGTGTAATACCTGATTTTGGTACTGTTTTTTTTTTTAATTTATAGTTACACAAAATGCAGACAGGGTATGCAAGCACAACTTTTTCCATTGCTGCTGAGCGGTGGCAAAAGCTGTTTCTTTTGGACTTTTGGACAACAAACTGAACACACCAACAAAACGCTCGTAGGGCGAACATGGATTACTCATCATCAGTTTTTGCTCTGTCCAAAAACCACGAAGATCTGCTGGTATCTTGCATATTGACAACATTTGTTGTGATAACATCCATGGGGACGGCCATGTTTAAAGTCGTGGGAATGCCGATAAAAAACACGCATCAGATCTGCTGGCGCATAGTTCGAACAAGTCAAAAGATGTACAATGTAGCTTTGACAGTTTGTTTTTGGCTTTCTCTTTGCTTTTTCTATGAAAAATGATTTTTGATTTTCAGTTATTTACCTTGACCCACCAATGCATAATTTCTAAAAAAAAAATTGAAATATAAAAACTTCGAAAAGTTTGAATGTGTCCTTACACAATGACTGTGATTGTAAAAAGACAAACTGCCTTTATTTTCAATGTTGTGTCCAAAGCATAACATTTCATATTTTAGTGGAATGTTTTATTATTTTTTATAATCAGTGGCAGCGCTGTGGGGGGGGGGGGGGGGGCATTTTTCCCCCTGGAGTTTTGTCCTTCCCCACCCCCCCCAAAGTTTGACACACCCCCTCCCCGCACCAATTTGCCCCGAACACTTTATCTACAAGTAGATTAATTATGTTGATTTTTTTCGCTGTTAAGTTTCATAAATTTGGGGCCAATGAAAACATTAAAACATTGGTACTTAAGACAAAACATGCCACACACCGTATGCATTTATACAGCCATAGATAGTGTGCTGCAACCATCTTTGTACATTTGTAATACACCATTCTGTGGATTGATACATTCATAAAAACAGCTACATAAGTTGCTCTAGTGGCTTATTTCCAGACCATTGACAATGGTACGTGCGCCATGTACACATAGGCTTGAGATGTTTACTCCTCCCCCCCCCAATTATTTCCTTGCCCCCCCCCCCCCCCCAAAAAAGAAATTTTGGAGTCTGGCACCGCCACTGTTTTTAATATAACCTATGCAGTTCAAAGTAGCAGTTAAGAGTTAAAAATAAAAGCCTGGCCTACAGAGAAGCCCACCCTAAATCAGACAGTGAAAATAAGACACAAAAACAGTCTGACAGAATGAGCTATTAAGCATAAATTAACAAAATCAATTTATTGACTGAGTAACTCTGGGTTGTTTTTTTTTTTTTGGACAGATACGGTACATGGTCCTTAAAAGTCCCCAATGTCTCACTAGTATTTTCACCCTCTGCAAAACAGTGGCACCTTTCTGTATCAGTACAACATTTGTATGCCAAAAGTTGCATGTATATGTGCAGGCTGTGGCGTGCTTTCTTTGTTGACACCAAGCCATTTAGAATGGCTTCCCAGCTGGTTTCATAACAGCTGCGGCAGCTTGCAACTACAGGGGGGAATGAGCTGAAATCCATAAACGATATAGGTTCCAAAACAGTACAGCTGATGAGACAGTGTATAATAGTTACAATGTTTCTATGGCTTTGTCAAGGAGACTGTTTGGGAACTTGCACTACCCTGATACATGTATGTCAGCTTTTGCACCATGTATATATTTATAAACTGCAGGCATAATTTTAATCCCTGTTAATATTTTTGCAAGTAACTTTCTTTTCCTTATCAAGGATGCCTACGGGCTCTGTAGAATTGTCATAAAAATCCCAGTGCATTCTGCATGTTCTGAACAGTGTACATTATGTACATCAGGCCAATTAATCAAATGGCAAATTCTGGTGTCTGTAATTGCTATCAGTGTAAATGCAGGTCTAATCAAGAGCCAGGGTTATCAGTATGCGCATGCATATAATCTCCCACTTGCAGGCAGCGTAGGCGCACGAGGAAGTTACCCACTGATTCTAAAAATGAAGTACAGAACAATACAAACAAGTACGATTTCAGCATATGCATGCACAATTCCCCCAACAGTTGTTAGTATTTTTGTCATCTGGCTGGGGATCCCTGGAGAGACATTAACCTCCTCACAATGAGGTCAAGGCTTGCCGACCCATTTCATCTGACATGGCGAAATGTTGCATGATCCCTTTTGACATGGATCTTCCCCCCTAGGAAATTGATGCTGGGAGGCCACAGGTCATAGGTCTAGCAGCAGGCTTATATAATGTCACCACCTGCACTCATAATCAATCAGTCTTTGAGACGTCACCCTCGGAAACAGCTAAAAAAAAACTAAAAACAAATGAGATGCAAACTTGGAGACTGAACCTTGTTGAGAAATATGGAGGTATAGGAGGACATGTGGTTGCCATTGTCAATTCCACCGCAGTTCCACTTGATGAATTATGAACACCATGTATACACTGTGTACTCTAACCCTCCAATTCATTTTCAGATTTGGATAGAGTGCTTCATCAACACTGTCACTAGAGGGTGCACACCTGTAAATAGGCCAAAAATCCGTCCGCCGAGCTCATGAATAAAATTTGTACCCTCAAAATATTCTATATTAGAGAGTTTTGAGAGCCATAAAATTGGGGAATTGAAGAGATATGGTAATGAACCTCTGGCCCGAACTTGGGGCTTCCAATTCTGAGCATTTTGGATGCTATTGGGCTCGAAAGTGGCGCTATTTTGCCATGTTGTGGAGGGATCGTTTTTCAAGATGGCTACTTTTCCGCTTTGGGGAAAATAGGGGTCGTCTTCTTTGGGTGAGAATATCTCGAAAGTCAATGGTCAACCCACCCAAAAATGAAAAAAAAATGAAAGATGACACATTGATCATCATTTTTCTGTGCAGCTTGAATACCTGTGAGAGTTCTGAGTATTTTTAAAAGAATTGTAAAGTATGCGCATTTAGCACTAGTGTCTATGGGATTTTTTGTGCAGGGTTGCACCCTAGAGTTTGCTTATGGGCAATTCCAAGATAAGGTCCCCTTGTGGACGCCCACCACATAATCATCGCAA